AGAGAGAGAGAGAGAGAGAGAGATTTGTCCTCAGTAGTTGCTTTTTTAACACACGCTTCCGTAGTGCACGCGTAGATGATGTTGCACATTTTCGTCTTTGCTAACAAAATGAAGAGAAGGCCAAAATTGGTTTTGTCTTTTTGTGCCTGTCTGTCTGAATGTTTGTTAGTCTGTCTTTGCCGAAGCAAGAGAGAGAGAAAAAAAGAGAGATGGAGAAGGTAGAGAGAACAAAGAGAGAGAGTGGGGGGGTTGAAGAAGAGAAAGAGGAGGAAAACTAGACTGATTGATGGCTTGGGGGGGGTAATTGAACGTGGGAGGGTGTTGGGATAATAGAGACTGCTGCGCTGTGGAACAGCGACTGCTATTTTAATTTTTACCGGGGAACAGTGACTACTATTTCACTGTAATTCTTTGTTACTGTACCAGATATGTGTCATTTCATCTTGTTTTTCAAGAAGAAAGAATGACAGTGTCTTTCGACTAAGTCGCCATTCTGTATACTGTGCAGTAATTGTGCCGTGTATAGGCTTTGGCGTCGATGCGCAACGCAGCAGGTGACCTTGAAACGTGACTTCAGATGTAAAATTGACAATTCAAACACAAATACGGCATCAAATCAGGTGCTGAGCGAGACAATTTGCTTATTTTGATACGCTAATTCCGATAACGAAATCAATTTTTAGCAGTGTTTTTTCAAAAGTTCTGCCCGCGAAGTTTAACCCTGCGTGGTGGCAAACTTCACAGGGATTTTTACATCACAGCTCACCCTCCCAATTCTGACGTAGGGGATCTATTACAAGATAGTTAAAGCTGAAAATAGTTCATCCTCTTTTTTTTTTATAAGAAAATACTATATGATGCAAGTCATCCTGTCTTTTTAAAAATTGCTTCTTATTTTGGTGATCTTCTATATCTAGAAGGAAGAAGAGTCACACGCGAATTATTTTGTGAATTTTGAATTGCCTGTTCTGAATTTGATATTATTTTTTCAAAGGAACGTAGCATTCAATAAGGATATAAAAGCACTTCCAATCGATAGCGGGCGCATCGATACCATGAACAATGCCGTCAAGACGGTGTATTGGCTCAGCACAGTCCCTGTTCCCCGCATGAATTTTTCTGTTTTCAAAAGTAGAGTCGTTGTTCCCCGGTCTTCCGAGAGAGACAGTGACAGAGAAGAAGGCAGAAAAAAGGGGGGGGGGG